GTCACACTCCCCTGTCAGCATTCACACACCACAGTAAGAACAGTCCCAGTTCGTCACACCCCACAACCATCCCAGTGACCCTCAGGAGAGGCTGGCGAGTGGGATCATCTGTGCCAGTGGAGCAGGGGAGTGGGTCCCCCACCGGGCAGCGAGCGGCCCTAGGACGCGGGGCCCATTGGGACATGACCCCCCCCCACCACCACGCCTCAGCCCGTGGTCCCCAGCAACTCTCCTGCCCCCCGCCCGGATTGCCAGAGCTGTGACCCCCAGGGGGCATCTGCTCCTAGGACAGCGAAACACCGGAAACTCAGCTGCCCCCCCCCCCCAGCCTCGGCCAAGCTGCGCCCCCCTCACTGTTCAGTGTCAACTGCAGATCGCAGCTCTGGCCTCCCCCCACCTCACAGCCCTGCCGGTGCCCCTCACTCCCGACTCGCAGCCCCCAGCTGCCCTGCCCCTGGGGCCCCCACCTCACAGTCCTGCCGGTGCCCCTCACTCCCGACTCGCAGCCCCCAGCTGCCCCACCCCTGGAGCCCCCACCTCACAGTCCTGCTGGTGCCCCTCGCTCCCGACTCGCAGCCCCCAGCTGCCCTGCCCCTGGGGCCCCCACCTCACAGTCCTGCCAGTGCCCCTCACTCCCGACTCGCAGCCCCCAGCTGCCCCACCCCTGGGGCCCCCACCTCACAGTCCTGCCGGTGCCCCTCACTCCTGACTCACAGCCCTCCGCTGCCCCACCCCTGGAGCCCCCACCTCACAGCCCTGCTGGTGCCCCTCGCTCCCGACCCTCAGCCCCCTGCTGCCCCACTCCTGGGGCCCCCACCTCACAGCCCTGCCGGTGCCCCTCAATCCCGATCTGCAGCCCCTGTTGCCCACCCCTGGGGCCCATTCCCCTGCCCCACAGCCTTGGAGTCGGAGCGGGAGGTGAGACGGGCCAGTGGAGTTTCAGGTGCCCCAGAGAGACGCGGGGGAGACCTGCCCATGTCCTGCCCCAGCCCCTGCTGCAACCAGGGAGAGAACCCAGGAGTCCTGGCTCCCCGCACTAAGTACTAGACTTTGCCCAGCCTGTCCTCCCCCAGCTCTCTGTCCCCCCGGCTGCCCCACTCCTGGCCCCCTCCAGGGGCTGAGCCCGCCCCACAGCCCCCCCCTCGTCTCTCCCCCCCGGGGGCGGCGGGGTCTCAGGCCGGGACTCCATGTCCCAGGCGCTCCCTGCGCTGCTCTCCCGCCCCCCTTGGATGGGGGAGGGGCCCCTTGTGCCCAAACTGCGCTGCCCCCCCGCGGCCCGGCCCCTCCCCCCGGGGCTGCAGCCGAGAGACCTTCCCGGCGCCGCCGAGTCAAGGGCGGACGCCGCGATCCAGCCCCGGCCCCGGCCCCGGAGCGCCCCATGGTAACGCCGCGCCCGGGGCCCGAACCCCCGCCCGGCAGCGGCCAGAGACATCGGCCCTGGGGGGCGTCCCTCGGCTGGGCTGCGGGCGGGGGGCGCTGGGTGTCCGGGGGTGGTGGGAAGGGGGGCGCTGAGTAGCCGGGGGGAGGAGGGGGCGCTGGAAGAGGGGCACATGGCTGCCTGGGGGGCGCTGGGTGCCTGATGGGGCATTGGAAGGGGGGCACATGGCTGCCTGGAGGCGATGGGTTCCTAGGAGGGGTAGGAAGGTGGTGCTGGGTGCCCGGGAGGGGGAAGTGGGGGCTTGGTACCCAGGAGGGATAAGGGGGCGCTGGGTGCCTGGGGGGATAAGGGGGAGTTGGGTGCCCGGGAGGGAGGAGGGGGCACTGGGTGCCCGGGGTGGGTGCTGGGTGCCCGGGAGGAGGAGGGGCACTTTGTGTCCAGGGGGCACCTGCCCCGCTAGGGCCTGGGTTGAGACACCCCCCCAGCTCACTGCGAACGAGGGGCACCGAACGGGCATGGTGGGGTGGGGGCAGCTCTGGGGGATTGGAGACCTCACCCCCTCCCAGGTGGCCAGGTCCCATGGGGATCAGGGTGCCGGACGCCAGCCCCACATCCCCGAGCTGGGGGGGAGAACCCGACTTGCGGCCACTGGGATGGCAGCCCC